TCTCCGGTTTTATCCACTCTTCTCTGGTGGGAGAAACGTGTGTAAGGAGAGGACAGAGGCTTTCACGACACAGCTCCTGAGTGCGCTCCGTGTGGCCCTGAGTGCCCTCAGACACTTACTTTGGGAGGCCCCGAGCCCCAGCAAAAGGAAACCGGCCCCTGTAATTTCCAGAGGAATCAACACAACATGTGTGATCTTTACTTGTGTTCTTGGGCTCCAGCAATAGGAAAGTTGTTTCCATCCCAGTGGCCTTGGGATGCAGAGAAGGAAGGACCGGAGGGCCCCCTTCCTGTGTCCTCCCCGCACTGGGTAGCTGCTTATCTAAGCAGGCAGCGGCTTCTGCATTCTGTGGAAATCAGCAGTGGCTATTTGAGGAGTCGGTGCCGATGCGGGCTCATCAGCACGTTCTAATCAGGGAGGCTTGTGCGGCGGTGTCTGCAGGAACTGATGAATAGAAGCAGCCCGATGCCGTTCTGGTCCGATGGTGGTGGGTGTTCTGTTTTGAATCATAGATGGCAAACCTCAAAGCGGGGTCCCTGTGGCCCTCAGAGCCCAGAGGAGCGTGTGCAGAGAAGGGTGGGGGGTGAGTCAGAAGCTCATGGGAAAGGGGGGTGGCCCTGGAGCAGGGGGGAGTCTTGTTCCCTGCTCCTTACGTCAGTGCTATTTCTGGCCTCCCCCCGGCCAGGGCCCTCATGATCTCACCTCGTTGCAGGCTTGCTTAAAGAAGCCCGGCTGCAGCCATGACCTCAAGAAGGAGGTGGAGCTTCTTCAGAGCCTGCAGGTGAGCCCACCGGTCTCGGGGCTCCAGAAGGTGGCACTGGACATCCTGGGCCTCTCGCTGTCCTGGCTGGAGGAGACAGAGCAGCTCCTAGGGGACGTCGGGGTCCAGCTCCCCAGCTCCGACAAAGGTGACTGGGCTTCCCTCCCGCATAGAGTTGCCAGACCTTCGGGTGAGGTGTGGAATCTTGTCAGGAGGGGACACCTGTGGAGAAAGGCTCCTTTGGTAGGTGGCCGAAGTCCAATCTTTTTCCTTTCTCCAGTGCAGAAGTGATTTCCCTTTGTGATCAGGGTAGCAGAACGAGACGGGACCAAGGCCAAAGGAAAATTAAATCAAAACATTAGCAGACCCCACCTCTTAGCATTCGCTTCTTTACTATTTGGGGTGTAACACTGAAGACGTTCTCCCACAGAAATAGCCACAGGATTTGGGGCAAGTTACTTAGCCTCCCGTGCCTCAGTTTCCTTCCCTGTGAAAGGAGGTTAATAGGCATGCCCACCTTCCTGGTTTGTGGTGAGGATTGAAGCACATGAACACACATGCTCTACATTAAAAAACAAAACACAACAGAAAAGCTCCCGGCCACCTGAGTCCGTGCGGCCTTGCAGTGACCTGCTGGGGCAGAGTGGGACTGTCCCTGCGACGGTTCCACGACTGTGCATTTTTACGAGAATAGACAGCCTCCTCTTTGTCCCTCGGAGCAGCTGGTGGGTTCAAACTACTGGCCTTGTCACCAGCTCCAGGAGTAGCCCACATCACCACCAGGGCACCCGTCAACATCACTGTCTGTCACGGCCCATGGTATAAAATCATGAAAGGGGTGCGTCGGGGTTGTATCTTCTCACCATACTTAGCCAATCTGTACGCTGAGCAAATCCTCACAGAATCCGGCTCACAGGAAGGAGGATGAAGCACCAGGACTGGAGGAAGGCTTATTAACAGCTTGGGGTACGAGACGACCCAACCTTGCTGAAAGTGAGGAGGGCCTGAAGCCCTTGCTGATAAAGACCAAGGGCGGCAGTCTTCACAACTCAGTGTAAGGAAGACCAAATCCTCACAACCGGACCAGCAGGCAACATCCTGATCAACGGAGAACGGATGGAAGTTGTCACGGATTTTCAATCAATGCTCATGGAAGCAGCAGTCAAGAGGATAAGAGACACATGTGCACCGGGTACATCTGCTGCACAAGACCTCTTTACAGTGTTGAAAAGCAAGGTGCACCTGGCCGAAGCCTTGGCACTTTCAGTCACCTCACATAGAGGTGGACACTGAAGGAGAGCCAGAGAAGACTCAATGGCGTTGGAGAAGAACATCGGAAGTCCCATGGACTTACAAAAGAACAAACAGATCTCTCCTGGAAGAAGTGCTGTGTAGCCAGAATGTTCCTGAGGGGCAAGGATGGTGAGACTTCATCTCATCTATTTGGACATGTTGGGTTGTCCCTGGAGAAGGACTTCATGCTTGGTAAAGGAGATAGGCCTTATGGTGAGGAGGGGCTCTGCTTTCCTTCTGTGGAGACCCATTGCTGCCTGTCGGGCAGCAGGCACCGCGGGGGGCCGAGGAAGAAAGGGGTGGAAGCAGGTAAGAATCTAGGCCATGCATGTACTGGGCTGCTATAAAATTGTCCCAACTTTGCTGTAGGTTTGAAACTTCCCGTAATCAAATCGTGTGCTAGCCCCGCCCTCCTAGTGGGAAGAGCAGCGTTGGGAGTGGCCCTTAAGCATCAAGATTCTTGGGATGTTTAAGAGGAGAATCAACAGACCTCTAAGAGAATTGCGCCTGGCGGTCAGGGACCGAGGAAGTGTCCTGCACCTTCTCCGTGTCTGGCTAGTGTCAGAGGACAGCTGTGGCTCCTCCTCTCCACTGGGTACGCTGCGTGAGGACCCAGTTGGAGGGGGGCGGTGAGCGTGCAGTGCCTGCGAGGCATCCCCAATCCCGTGCCAAGGACCAGCTGTCATGCGGACGCCTCGTCTGGAGATCGTGGCGGATCCTCGGCACCTCGAAGCACACGCGCCACACGCTGTTGTCAGACTCCATCACGTCGGACCAACGCACAGGGACCCCCGCGCCAGGAGGCGAAGCCCTGCCCGGTCCTCGCCAGTGTTGCTGCCCATGCTTGCAGCCTCTGGGTCAGTCCATCTCCTGGCAGGACATCTCAGACCCTCCGCCTCACCAAACATGATGTCCTCCTGAGAACGTGGCCCACTACGTGAGATGCGAGCCTGCCGCTCTCCAAGTCGAATGAGTTCTTTCTTCTGGCAATCCGCCTGCTTAGCCGACACTGGAATTCAAATGCATCCCAGCTGCTCGGTCCCTCGCATTCGGCGTCCGGCTCTCAGGTGTGTGAGGTGACTGAAAATACTAGGCCTGGGTCTGGCACACCTTCGCCCTCAAAGTGGCACCTTTGCTTGTTACTGCCATAAAGAGTGCTTTGACAGCAGACTTGCTGCGTGCGGTACATTGTTTGATTCTTGACGGCGGCGTGGAGTGGGCGTGGGCCCTGGACCCGAGTAAAACCTAGTCCTGAAGACCTGGTCCTTGGCAGCTTCAACGATCTCTCGATCTATCAGGACATTGCTTATCGGTCCAGTTGTGAGCAGTGTTACTTTCGGACCCAAAAGTGACCTCCATCTCCAATGGAATGGATGGAGAGTCCGTAGACAGTCCTAACAGAGACAAAGACACAAACGCCTCATCCAGAGGAGGGGGCTTCATCCCCAAGGGGCCCTGCAAATGGATGGGGGGCTGTCCCTGCCCTCTGCAGCCTCCTGCCACCAGGAGTGCTCAGGGTTTGAGCTCTGATACAGCAGGCACTTCACTCATAGCCGTTGGCTGAATGTGCGGGCCCTCCCTTGGGAAGAAATGATTGAGGGGGAAGAGGAACAGGCTCAGAGTCTCGAGGCGCCCAGCAATCAGACGATTGGCGCCCTCCAGGGCGGCACATGGACTGGACCTTCTGCGGCAATGAAGGCGCCCAGAGGAGTGATCTTCAACTCTGCTGCTTCAGCGCCCCCAACCAGATGTCCCCACGCGGTCCAAAGGGTGGTGCAGGTGGCTCTACAAATGAAAAGCAAGATGGACTATTTGTGGCACAGGGGTCTGCCCTCATTGTAGTGCAGCAAAGAAAGCAGTGGGTAGGGGGGTGGGGGCGGGGGCAGGCCTAGGGAGGAAGAGGGCACACCCCGGATGAGCTCCCCGTCACCCAGGGCTGTTGCTGGTGGAACCATGGCAGGGTGTCCCAGCTCCCAGGAAATTACGTAGGTGGACCATGGGTCCCAGTTCTCTCTTGGATCTCCATCAGTATGTGAACGGAAAAGCAGACAGGCCCCACCCCCTGTCCTGATAATACTGGAGCGGAGTTATGCACACACTGCCCCTGCCCTCCTGGCTCTCATGACCCGCTATGTCTGCAGAGCTAGCCATCTGTTTCCATAAAGACCCCTAAGCTTTCTGGTCAGCAAGTCCAGGAAGCTTGAGAAAGCCTGGCATCGGGCAGCATGGATCAGGCCCACCCTCTAGGTCTCCTGGCTGTGTAGACTCATGAGACGTGAATCACATGAAGCCGGGCGTCGGGGTAGGGAGTGGGGGGTGTCTGCAGAATCCCTCCTGTGCATGCGCTGTGGAGATGTGAGAATGAGGTCAAGAACAAGGATGTTCCCACAATACGGTCTCTCCTCTTTTGGTGCCCCAGGTGGCAATGGATGTCCTTTGGGAATAACGTTCTCCGGTGGCCCCTGAGTAGCACACACAGTTCATGGGATGCTGGACTGTTAACGGAAAGCCTGAGGCTTGTGCCCACCCAGAGGTCCCTCTGAAGAAAGGTCTGGCTCTCTGCTTCCGGAAGATCACAGTCTTTGAAAGCCCCCCGGAGCACAGTTCTGCTTGGACCTGCGTGGGCTGGACCGCACGCAGCTGTGGACTGCCGGAGTGACTATGTCTGTGTTCCCAATGCTTGGTTCTAAGAAGCCCAGAGAGGGAGGATGGAGGGCAGGGACAGGAAGGTTAAAGAGTAGAGCCCATCCCTCAGCCCCGCAGCAAGAGGGGGAGTAGATGCTAAAAGGCATTTTCTCTTTCAGTCTGTAAATCCAGAAATAATCAGGCCCAAATCAAGAGAAAGGGAAACTACAGGCCGTCTTGTTAGATGAGGAGGCCGGCCGAGGTGGTTCCGAGACAGAATTCTCAACTTCCAGGCAGGAGGCCTGCGTCTCATGGCCAAACCGCTCGTTTAACCTCACGCCCGAGCCTCGGCATCTGCCCCACGTGGTTCAATGGAGCTTCTATACTGAGACCAACTAGGAAGAAAGGCCTGGAGATGTGCTTTCAAAAAATCAGCCAACAAGACTGGCTTCTCGCCAAGCAGGAAGAACAGTGCGGTGCGATGGACGTGAGGGAGGCTGGGGAGGGGCGGGGAGGGGACGGGACGGGAGGGGCTCTGCCTTAGACCGGACGAGGCGTGTGCTGGGAATAAGACACCAACCTCTCGGTTTGGAACAGACTTCAGTCCGTCCAGAGGAAAGGTATTTTGTGGTCTCTGGCCAGGGACAGTGCCAGGGGATAGGTAGCTGAGAACAGGATGTCTCTAATGAGTTTCTCATGAGCTACTCATCCTTGATCTCAGCTAAGAGGAAAGGATCCTTATGAATCAGAACCTGTTCACCTGGTGTCTAGCAAGAGGAGATCGAAAGATAGCAAACGAGGGTGGGGATTCACCAGCCGTCACCAGAAGAGATGGCCTGTCATGATAACTTCAGTCTATCTTGAAAAAGGCACATCATTGCTTATAAATACAAAAACGCATACATCTGTAAATATATATATATATAACATACAAAAATTAGAAATCCAGAAAACACTGAGTCTTGGCCAAAATGCCTCCAAGGACGACAACAACAACAACAACACATCTTTGGAGGCCAAGTTCTGGATCAGAAGCGTGAGGAAGAGCAGCTATAGGTCCACCTTGGGGCAGATGGAGTAACCAAAGGACAGGACAGAACCCTTCGCCTCATTCACACGAAAAAGTTAATCAGTGAACATTTAAAAACCTGAAAGGACACAGGACCAATCGCTCCTATCTTCCCTATCATGAATGGTCTTCAAACCAAAACATTCAATAAAAATTTCAAAAATCAGACAATGAAAATCTTTTGCATCACAGCATGCACTGTGCGATGTGGGGGTCACCGAGCACGCTGCATCAATGGAAGCGAACAACAAAAACAAATGTGTCGGTGACATCAGGAGGCTTCAGAGAGAACGTGAGGTTCTGCAGAGCTCACATGTGGGTGGGCCCTGAGCCTCTCTCGGTTGAAGGGTGTGCTATGTGGTCCAGCTGGGGGTTAAGAAACTTACAGTGGTGTCCACGGAGGAAGCTCCATACTCCCTCCCGCCTACCTTCTCAGGCTTCTTGGACAACTGTAGCTAAGGCAAACAAAGGACTTTTGACGTTCCTCTCGGCTAGCTAGTTGTTTGTGTCTATTTCTGCAAGGTTGTGTTGCACAGAGCCGGCCCAATATATACAGTATCTTTACATGAAGGAGAAGAAACGCACATTGTCATGCAGTCATATAATATGTAGCATGTGCTTCCATTCATTTTTTAAAAGCAGCAAAGAAATGCGGATGGGAGACATGTGGCTGTTAAGAGCTTGGGGTCGGGCAGGAATGTTACTCTGATCTAGTTGTTCAGAAAGGGCACCAAGAGCACTTGACACTTTAGGATTCCCCATCCCTCCCCACCCCTGGGTTTGGATTTTTGTAACATGCCCGTGTACCTTGGTAACCAGAGATGGAAGAAAGAGATGGATTCATAATGAAACCCAGTTATGTTATAGTCGGTCACCTGAGCTAGAAACATACTCAGACACCCAGCTCGCCAGCCAGCACCCTTGGCTTCCTCTTCCTCTGCCCTTTGGAGCCCCCGTGACCTGATTCTGCGGCTGTCGCAGGCTGCAGCGGACCGAAGTCTCACACCCATCCCTGCTGACAGTTGTTGTGGTTCCAGAGTCCCCGCCATCGGGTGCACTCCGAGTCATGGTGGTCCTAGAGCTCAAGGTCAGTCCTCATCCTTCTGCCTCATCATGGCTGGTAGGTTTGAACTGACTTGGGCTTAGCAATGCAACCCATCACCCACTATACCCCAGGGCTCCTGTTTTCAAGTTGACTAGAGAAACACATTCATAACCACTCATGTGTACAAGAAAGAGCAGTATATAAAGAGTAATTGCATATTATGAAAACATCCCAGCCCAGTCCAGATCAAGTCCATAAGTCTGATATTAGCCCATAGGTCCGATACCAGTTTGTAAATTCCTCTTCAGATTCACAGGACACATGCAATGATACTGAATGCAGGAAGATCACAGGCCAGTGGGTGGAAAGTCTTGTGGATCCAGTGGCGGTAGAAGTATCACAGTGCTGATGTGGGTCTCCACATGGCTCCTCCAGCTCCAGGGCTCTGGCTCCATCAGTGTAGCTCCATGTGGCTTGTCAGCAGGAATATAAAGCAGAGAAAGTATGTGTCCCACCTCCAGGGAGGAACATAGGAGTTCCCAGAATCCTCAGGAGAAGGCCATTCCCACACAGAAGCATCATTGGCTATGAACTGATTGACAGGCTTGACTCCACCCCTTCATCAAGTTGACAGTAGATTATGTAATTAGCACAGGCTGCTTCACCTATAAAGTGCAAATGCATTCCTTGCTAGGTCATGGAAGAAGGACATTTTTAAAACTAGGAACACCATTATGGCCTTATTGTTACCTTCATCCAAATGCTTTATCTTCATGTCTTTGTCCTGCTTAAGACTTCCTAAGTAGATATATATATATATATATATTCAATTCCTGGCATTAGTACCTGATTAAAAAACAAAAAAACAAAACCTCACTGCCATTGAATTGATGCTGACTCAGAGTGATCCCATAAGATAAGATAAGGCAGAGCTATCCCTGTGGAATTCTGAGACTGGAACTCTTTATAGGAGTGGAAAGTCCCATCTTTCTCCATCGGAGTGGCTGGTGGTTTCAAACTGCTGACCTTGCAGTTAGCACCCCAGCTCATAACCACGACACCACCAATGACCCTCCCTGATGTAAAGGAGGTTCTTGGTACTTGATACCGACCACTGGCATTGTGTCCATTCTGACTCCTTGGGACTTTGTATGGAGTTTCCAGGGCTGGAGACCTTGATGGGAGCAGGCAGCCTCATCTAGCTCCTGCAGAACTTGCAGTCCACAGCCACACAGCTCCAACAGGGCTCCTGGTCACAACAATAACCTTGGTCCCACTGCTTGCTGATGACAGTTGTTAGAAAGCTGTGCCATCAGTGATGTCAGGCCCAGGAAGTGGCCTTCTGTACTCCCTTCCCAACTCTCTCTGCCCATCTTTCCGTCCTGCCCCCCTTCCCCTGTACTGTCTCCCCTCTCCTTCTCAGGGACTTTGGGCACAAGGTCCATCATCTGTGGCATCCACAGCCTTCCTAGCCTCGTAGGCTCTACTATCTGGAAAATCATATTCCTCCCTGGAACCCACTGCATCTTTATCTCCTTCACTGTTGGGTAACCGCCACAGCGACAGGCCGATGGTGGAGCGTGACCAGGCACTGCTGGGTCTGTTGTACATCAGGTTGTTATGGGCTGGGACCAACTTGACGACAACTCACAACACCATTACTCCTGTCCACACGTAAGACCTTCAAGAAGTTCTGGTTCGAACCTCCAACCAGTATGTGGGAAAAACATATTGCCGTCTGCTTTCATGACGATTCCTACCTTGAAAACCCTGCGGGGCAGTTCCACTGTGTCTTATGACGTCTCTGTGAGTTAGAACCGACTTGACAGCCTGGGTTGTTTGGGGGCGGGGGGGGGGGGGTTATTTCCCCCTCCCCTCCCTCCCAGTGTTAAGAGCTACGTTTCTTGCAGTCCTTGACCCAAGGACTCCATCTTCCTCCATCTCCAAAACCTGCAGCAAAGCTTCTCCAAAACGCTCTCTGCTTCCCGCGTCTCTGTCTCTAGGCCAGTCGCCTGCTCTCTCCTCCTCTCACTAGAACTTCTGGGATTACACTGGGCCCACTCAGTGATCTGGGATAATCATCTCCACACCGCGAGATTCCAAATTCAGTCCCAGAGGTAAAGGGCCCTTTTGCCCTAATTCAGACACCAGACTCTAAAGTCTTTAGGGGTCGTTATTCATCCTACCACATCCCCCATTCCAAAACACCCTGCCCTTGGCCTCTGTGACCCTTGCCTTCCCAGAATCCCCACGCCCAGAGTCTCCTCCACCAGCAAGCCTCTGTCTGCGTTTCCTGGGACTGCGGACACAAAGGACCACAGGGCGGCTGCCTTCGTGAGCTCAAGCCAGCGTTCACACTGCTCTGGAGGCTCCAGGTCCAGACTCAGGGTGCCTTGATTGGTCATGTTCTCTCAGAAGGCTCCCGAGGGAGATCCTTTCTCGTCGCTCCCAGCTCTTGGTTAAGCCCAAGCCTCCCAGGCATCACCCCGTGCCACGTGGCCATCTTCTCTTTGATGGGACACCACCAGGTGGGATTAAGACCCACCCCCCTCCAGTATGACCCCCTGTCAGCTTAACTACTCACACGCTAGGAGACCTTGTCTCTACACGAAGCACCAGGGGTAAGGACTTCAACATTTTTGGAGGGCAGAAGAGAACACAGCTCAATGCATAGCTCCACCCTGGATCCCTCCCAATGGGTGGTCTCTTCCTCCTCTGAGACCCACACACCCTTCACCCCTACAGCTGCCTGTGCCGTCATTCCATGTCTCCCACTGTGCAAGCGAGTCCCCC